TATTTTTATGTCTTTATTTACTTTGCATTGTACGATTCTTAACTTATATGTGCTGTATTCAATGTGATAACAGTTACTTCTTTCGAAATCTCCTTTATTTTGTTTATCAGTCAGTTGATGTATTATTGTTACGCTACCACTTTTTGAGTCTGATAAGAAGAGAAAGAGAAAATTGAAAATTACGTTTCGTAAATTTTATTGAGCGAAAAAGAAAAGCAGTATATAGAAAAAGCAATAGAAATTAAATGATTGTTCAAAAACAAATACTTACTGGAGTCTAATGATAATGGTAATCTACAAAAAAATGAACAAAGCAAAGTTCCTGCTGACATCACGAACACCGAATTATTTGACCGTTTATGCAATTTTCCACGCAACATTTGTCTTTTTCAAATGTAAAACAAACGTCTTTCACGTTTTGAAATGGACCGGGATCAGTTTTTAAATATCCACTTCTGTGCCATGCGTATTTAATCATTGATTCGAAAGCTTTTGATTTCATTTGTGAATGCACAAGTGAATGTAATTTAATTACATTGTTACGTTCAGCCAAATTAATATGGATGTCGTCGAGTCGTACATGATTGAAGATACGTCGTAGAATCAACTTGTATTGTCGATTAAAATAAACATCAAGTGGTTGAATTGTTGAAGTAGTTTTCGGTGGTATTACTCTAAATGCAAAATCTTTTAAACGTTTATATACATCTGGATTAGCATGAGAAGGAAAGCTGTCCACGAGAAGTAATGTTTTCGGCGACAAATTTGGAATCAGGCAATGATCACGCCAGTAAGTGACAAGCGATGAAGTTAGTTTTCCACTTTTCGAGCACGTCACGACAACATTTTGAGCATGAAATAAATTATTTTTTATTCTATCACTCATATGTCCCGTTGGCTCTTTTTAACAAAGATACAGTGGACCGAATACAGTTCCTCTCATTGTTATTGTATTTTGTATTGTGTAAGAATGAGTCGTGTTGTAAACCGACCGAACTGAATTCCAGGTAGATGGTTCTCCCATGTATGTTAAAGTTCGATTGTTGTATAATTCGATATTAATTCCTACTTGATCAGTATTGAGTATTTCGTTGGGATTGTATTGCTTAATGAATTTTGACGTTTCTGCAACAAAATTTGTTGCTGCTTCGTCAATTTCTTGGCTACTTTCAATGTGTCTTTTTGTAACCAATTGAGTTACTTTTCGACTAGAAATTCTATGTCGATGTTTAAACGACAATAACCATTTTTCAGAAGCTTCGAAACTATTCAAATTTAATTCGCGAGCCTTTTGAAGACTCCATCTACGCAAATCAATATCGTGAACAGCTAGCAACTTATGGCGTGCGTTTTCAAATTGACGATAGACATAGGTGTCAATATCATCGATTTTTTGTTTCTTTGTGCCCCCAGCTTCAATATATTTACGAAAGCGAACGATGTATTGAGGATTCGAAATACGTCGAAACATATGTTTTACGGAACACCAATTTCTTTTGCGCTGTCCGGTTGTTGCATCCGTTTCATCAAAATAGTCAACAGCGCGTTTCATGTAATCCAATGAAAAGTCCTCTCGCAGCCACTGATCATCGTCGTTATCATCGTCGGTGGATTTATAATCAAGGTCACGATCAATATCAAGATGTTTAGACATTGGTGTTGTTTCAGCAGAATTGTCGACATCGGGATCATCCAATTCATCATCATGATCGAGTGTAGTTTCCGTATCGAAGATATACGAGCCACTTTCCACAATGGAAGTTAAACAATTAAATAGATTTGAAGCAATGTATTCCTCATCAAAAGTAATTGGCGAGGATGCTGTATCATCAAATTTATGAGAAATAAAGTTTGATAATACTTTTAATATATTGTAGGCGTTAATCATTTGAAAATGATAGATTGAAAAAGTGTTGATTGAAAAAAAAGATCATATGTAATATGCTCGTCCTTTATTCTACACTTTTCGCATTAGACTCTAATTGTATTAGAGATCTAACAATTTAAAACTATATTCAAGACTTTTAGAGGTTGAATTTGAATTAACACACAAATTTTCGAGAAAAATAGAGAATTTTTTTTATACCTTCCTGTTGGCCCTGTCAGATGTGTTTTATATACATGCTCTCAAGTAGTCACTATAGAACTGCACTGTATGCAGCACACATAAGTTAAGAATCGTACAATGCAAAGTAAATAAAGACATAAAAATA